GCAAAATCATAACAAGCAACATACAAACATATATGCCCTGAAACCCCCATATTTCCATGTTTTTCCCCTATTTATTTCCCTATTCATTTCCCTATTTATTTCCCTCTTTATTTCACTATTTATTGCCCTATTTATTTCCCTATTTATTTCCCTATTTATTTCCCTATTTATTTCCCTATTTAGTTCCCTATTGTTTTCCTATTTATTTCCCTATTTATTTCCCTATTTATGTCCCTATTAATTTCCCTTTTTTTCCCCTATTTATTTCCCTATTTATTTCCCTATTTATTTCCCTATTTATTTCCCCTATTTATTTCCCTATTTATTTCCCTATTTATTTCCTTATTTATTTCCCTATTTATTTCCCTATTTATTTCCCTATTTATTTCCCTATTTATTTCCCTATTTATTTCCCTATTTATTTCCCTATTTATTTCCCTATTTATTTCCCTATTTATTTCCCTATTTATTTCCCTATTTATTTCCCTATTCATTTCCCTATTTATTTCCCTATTTATTTCCCTATTTATTTATTTCCCTATTTATTTCCCTATTTATTTCCCTATTTATTTCCCTATTTATTTCCCTATTTATTTCCCTATTTATTTCCCTATTTATTTCCCTATTTATTTCCCTATTTATGTCCCTATTTATTTCCCTATTTATTTCCCTATTTATTTCCCCTATTTATTTCCCTATTTATTTCCCTATTTATGTCCCTATTTATTTCCCTATTCATTTCCCTATTTATTTCCCTATTGTTTTCCTATTTATTTCCCTATTTATTTCCCCTATTTATTTCCCTATTTATTTCCCTATTTATTCCCTATTTATTCCCTATTTATTTCCCTATTTATTTCCCTTTTTCTTTCCCTATTTATTTCCCTATTTATTTCCCTATTTATGTCCCTATTTATTTCCCTATTTATTTCCCTATTTATTTCCCTATTTATTTCCCTATTTATTTTCCTATTTATTTCCCAATTTATTTCCCTATTTATTTCCCTATTTATGTCCCTATTTATTTCCCTATTTATTTCCTATTTATTTCCCTATTTATTTCCCTATTTATTTCCCTATTTATTTCCCTATTTATTTCCCTATTTATTTCCGCATTTATTTCCATATTTATTTCCCTATTTATTTCCCTATTTATTTCCCTATTTATTTCCCTATTTATTTCCCTATTTATTTACCTATTTATTTACATATTTATTTCCCTATTTATTTCCCTATTTATTTCCCTATTTATTTCCTATTTATTTCCCTATTTATTTCCCTATTTATTTCCCTATTTATTTCCCTATTTATTTCCCTATTTATTTCCCTATTTATTTCCCTATTTATGTCCCTATTTATTTCCCTATTTATTTCCCTATTTATTTCCCTATTTATTTCACTATTTAGTTCCCTATTTATTTCCCTATTTAGTTCCCTATTTATTTCCCTATTTATGTCCCTATTTAGTTCCCTATTTATTTCCCTATGTATTTCCCTTGTTCTTTCCCTATTTATTTCCCTTTTTATTTCCCTATTTATTTCCCCTATTTATTTCCCTATTTCTTTCCCTATTTATTTCCTTATTTATTTCCCTATTTATTTCCCTATTTATGTCCCTATTTATTGCCCTATGTACTTCCCTATTTATTTCCCTATTTATTTCCCTATTTATTTCCCTATTTATGTCCCTATTTATTTCCCTATTTATTTCCCTATTTATTTCCCTATTTATTTCCCTATTTATTTCCCTATTTATGTCCCTTTTTTTTCCCTATTTATTTTCCCTATTTATTTCCCTATTTATTTCCCTATTTATTTCCCTTTTTATTCCCCTATTTATGTCCCTATGTATTTCCCTATTTATTTCCCTATTTATGTCCCTATTTATTTCCCTATTTATTTCCCTATTTATGCCCCTAATTATTTCTCTACTTATTTCCCTATTTATTTCCCTATTTATTTCCCTATTTATTTCCCTATTTATGCCCCTATTTATGTCCCTATTTATTTCCCAATTTATTTCTCTATTTATTTCCCTATGTATTTCCCTTTTTATTTCCTTATCTATTTCCCTATTTATTTCCCTATGTATTTCCCTATTTATTTCCCTATTTATTTCCCTATTTATTTCCCCTATTTATTTCCCTATTTATTTCCCTATTTATTTCCTTATTTATTTCCCTATTTATTTCCCTATTTATGTCCCTATTTATTGCCTTATTTATTGCCCTATGTATTTCCCTATTTATTTCCCTATTTATGTCCCTATTTATTTCCCTATTTATGTCCCTATTTATTTCCCTATTTATTTCCCTATTTATTTCCCTATTTATTTCACTATTTATTGCCCTATTTATTTCCCTATTTAGTTCCCTATTTATTTCCCTATTTATTTCCCTATTTAGTTCCCTATTGTTTTCCTATTTATTTCCCTATGTATTTCCCTATTTATTTCCCTATTCATTTCCCTATTTATTTCCCTATTGTTTTCCTATTTATTTCCCTATTTATTTCCCCTATTTATTTCCCCTATTTATGTCCCTATTTATGTCCCTATTTATTTCCCTATTTATGTCCCTATGGTTTTCCCTATTTATTTCCCTATTTATTTCCCTATTTATTTCCCTATTTATGTCCCTATTTATTTCCCTATTTATTTCCCTATTTATTTCCCTATTTATTTCCCTATTTATTTCCCTATTTATTTCCCTATTTAGTTCCCTATTTATTTCCCTATTTATTTCCCTATTTAGTTCCCTATTGTTTTCCTATTTATTTCCCTATTTATTTCCCTATTTATGTCCCTATTTATTTTCCCTTTTTTTCCCCTATTTATTTCCCTATTTATTTCCCTATTTATTGCCCTATTTATTTCCCCTATTTATTTCCCTATTTATTTCCCTTTTTATTTCCCTATTTATTTCCTTATTTATTTCCCTATTTAGTTCCCTATTTATTTCCCTATTTATTTCCCTATTTAGTTCCCTATTGTTTTCCTATTTATTTCCCTATTTATTTCCCTATTTATGTCCCTATTTATTTTCCCTTTTTTTCCCCTATTTATTTCCCTATTTATTTCCCTATTTATTGCCCTATTTATTTCCCCTATTTATTTCCCTATTTATTTCCCTTTTTATTTCCCTATTTATTTCCCCTATTTATTTCCCTATTTATGTCCCTATTTATTGCCCTATTCATTTCCCTATTTATTTCCCTATTTATGTCCCTATTTATTTCCCTATTTATGTCCCTATTTATTTCCCTATTTATTTCCCTATTTATTTCCCCTATTTATTTCCCTATTTATTTCCCTATTTATTTCCCTATTTATGTCCCTATTTATTTCCCTATTTATTTCCCTATTTATTTCCCCTATTTATTTCCCTATTTATTTCCCTATTTATTTCCCTATTTATGCCCCTATTTATTTCCCCATTTAGTTCCCTATTTATTTCCCTATTTATTTCCCCTATTTATGTCCCCTATTTATTTCCTTATTGTGTTCCCTATTTATTTCCCTATTTATTTCCCCTATTTATGTCCCCTATTTATTTCCTTATTGTGTTCCCTATTTATTTCCCTATTTATTTCCCCTATTTATGTCCCCTATTTATTTCCTTATTGTGTTCCCTATTTATTTCCCTTTTTATTTCCCTATTTATGCCCCTATTTATTTCCCATTTAGTTCCGTATTTATTTCCCTATTTATTTCCCCTATTTATGTCCCCTATTTATTTCCTTATTGTGTTCCCTATTTATTTCCCTTTTTATTTCCCTATGTATGTCCCTATTTATTTCCCCATCTCCCTGTTGGCATCTCCATCACCTGGCCATCCGTGTCGCTGGTGCTGCAGGAGCTTCCTGCGTTGGGAGTGGATCATCCCAAATTCAAATACTGATGTGGGATGATGTGGGATGATGTGGGAATATTGGATGTGCTTGGGCTACTAGTATTGAGGTTGCCAAGGCTGGTGTCTAGTTTAATCCCAGAAGCAACAGTAGTCCCACAAAGTCAGGAATAGCCTTTCCCAGCTCTGTGTGAACCAGGCTGTTGGCTACCGCACGTCTAGCAATTGTCAATGGGAGAAAGTGCAAACGCATTGAATCAGCCCCAACGACCAGTGTCGCTTCCATCATAGTGATGATCGCAACTCTTGCTTTGGTGAGGATTGGAACTCAAGTTTGTAACCCCTACACACAGAGCGTGATGTTTCTGACTTGGCCAGGTTGTCTTCACTATGTTCAACGAATAGCGGAAAACGAAATACGGAAACGATCACAGATTCTAAATGTCAGTGCGGTATGACCACTGCAGCCTGGTGCATCTCCAAAATATTTGGCACGAGAGTGGTCTTCCTGCGCACTGGCAAATGGTCTTGGTCTTTGAAAACGGATGAGAAATGAAGCTCAATGGACAAAGCGAGAAAGCCATGGCTTACCACCCCAAAATTGTGGACATCTTGAAGTCTGCCAGAAAGGTCTCCAAGTCTCCTTTGCAACAACATCAGCACGGTTCCACTCGTCGTTGGCATCATCAAGCTTCTCGAAGATGTGAGGGTTGGCACTGACAGGGCCGGCAAATTTCATGGTAAGTAGCAACGCTAGTGTCATCCCCCAAATACTAAACACCACCTGGCTAATACCATGGTTGACCAGGGGATATATAAATATTTGGGCCATTTAGGTGCTGTTTAATATTCTATAGGGGGTTAGGATTACGCCGATGCAATCCAACAGACGTGGCAATCGGACATGCCCAGTTTCAATGAAACAAACATCTATAGCAATGGTGGATTGTCGACTACCAGGCTGAATTTCTGGAGCGCAAGATCTGTTGTAGATGAATTATGCAAAGGATTCAACTAGTGCAGCTGCAGTAGTGAGCTGATGACATGTCAATGTGTATTTTCTTGATTTGATATTTTCCAAAAAAAGGTTCTCTTTCACTTTCCTGTCGGATAACCGAATAACTACCCGTTCACGTCTTCTCGCCACAATCCTCACAAAATACCACCTCCAATCATCAGCTCGCCAGTCATCGAAGTCTGGCATAATGGGCGCTTGTGGCATGCCTGCATCAACAAAAGCCATGGTTATCACTGAGCTGCAGATGTATCTGTGAGGCAATCATGTCACTCGACACAAAATGCGAAATTTCATGAAATTTCCAGACTTTGGGACAACGTCTTGAAGTTCAGTCTTGCTTCAGTGATGAAGTAGAGTAAGTAGATGTAACTAGATGTAACACTCAACCCTTTAGTCGTCAGACCTTGATCTCCACAGCACAGAATCCCTGCTTCAGCGTTTCAATTTGTGGCACCGTGGCCTTCCAATGGAGTGTACAGCGAGTCAAGGTAGGCCAAATACTCCGGGTCAGGATGAGTTGAGGGTATCCTGCGGCAATGGATGCATTGGGGCAGCGTTGGGGGAGCACGTGATAGCACAGTCGATTCAAAGCTTTTCAGAGTTGAAGCTTCCGGTCTTCTGAACCCAATAGGGAGAAAGTATAATGTACATGTACACTGTGCGACCTGCAAGCAGTCCTTGGATCAATGTAGTCTGGCAACTTCTGGTTGTAGCGCTCACGTCCATATCGGTCGTCCCATCGTTCATGTCCGTATCGCTCATGTCCATATCGCCCATTCCCACTTCGACTGTGCTCGTAGCGGTCCTGCTCATAGCGATCATAGTCATAGTAGCGATCATGCTCATAGCGGTCACGCTCGTAGCGCTCTTGCTCATAGCGTTCACGTTCATAGCGTTCACGCTCATAACGTTCATGTTCGTAGCGTTCACGCTCGTAACGATCATGTTCGTAGCGTTCACGCTCGTAACGGTCATGGTCCTTTGAGAGCAAATTTGTTTGTCAACAGGTCTGATTCTGCACATTTGGCTACTCCCTGAGACAGATTGACAAATCTGATGAAACCTGCTTGAATTCAACCGAGCATCATAGTCATAAGACGACGAGTATGGCGAAAGTCCGGGAGGCGGCCAGGAAAACTGATCATATGCCTGTCCACGGCTCAGCCACTTCATACTTAGGCATACACCCCTTCAAAAATCTTCAAAACTTCCTCCCCCTGTCACCAAGGTGCTGCAGGAGAGGTTGGGAATGACGATGGCTCATAGTCATACCTTGTCACAAACCATCCCACGATCCGAGATTTTGCCCATAGGATCTGTAAAGAAAGCTCTGAACCCTTGATCTACAACTTGGAATCAAGCATTGCGCGTGATAAAAGGCTGTCTCAATATTGGGTACCCCATAAAATCCCGTCGGTTTATCACCATTTTCCTCATTACAACATACATACGCATATATATATATATATACACATATGATCACATATGCATATATATATACACATATGCATATATATATATATTAATTATACATATACATGTATATATATATAATCAATCACACATATACATATACATATACATATACATATACATATACATATACATATACATATACATATACATATACATATACATATACATATACATATATATATACATTAGTAGGAGGTATCCCAAAATGGGCGTACCCGCAAATCATCCAAGTCATGGATGACAATTTTAGTATTGAAACCCATGGTGACTTGGGGATCCCCCATCTTAAGAAACCCCCATATATATCTATATATATGTATATATATATATGTGTGTATATATATATATATGTATGTATATGTATATGTATGCATTACCTACGGCAACTGTTGGTAAGATCCCCCAACAGCCAAGTGTCCCTCCCATAGGTCGTGACTGACCTTTGTGCCCACGGCGACGGGCCTTGGATATGCCAACAAGGAAAGAAAACTGAAGAATCACAGCAACAAAAAATGTGTCTGTGATATTATAATATATATATACATGTATACTGTATAAGTATATACATATCGTTATACATTAGTTAATTGCTATATGTTCGTCAATGAATGTTGATGATATTATAGATCATCCATCTAATATACTCTGATATGATATATTATGACAGAAATAGTGGACGCAAACTTTGCTATATATGCCTCCCGGAGAGATCTGCCCAAAGCCCGATGGATTGTGGTGCTGTCAGGTCACGCGAAAGTCGAAGTTGCCCACGCTGCTCATGCTGATCCTGCAGAACATGGCTGATTCCCAAACTTCAAATACTTCCGTATTCAAGACCTTTAAAGTCAGGCTGATTTCAAACAATGAAGCAGCATGGATCGTGAGACTTTCTTTACTAAAGGTCCTTCATCAGTGTTGAGTTCAGAGCTTGAAAGGATCCGTCTCTATCTGAATTTGCAAGTCGTTCAAATCACGGTCTTCTTGCACCACTCTATCAAGGTAAGAAGCTGGTAAGAGGCTTAGATAGCTCTACCGCGTTGAAACGTGCACGATGCCCGATCTTCTAGAAGCCAGCCGAATGTCCTCCAGAATCCAACAAGTTTCCACGCTGCAGAGCAGCGAGGGCGCTACCTGAGATTCAGAACGACATATCTTGCATGCAAAGCACATGACTAATATATACTAATATGACTGTAGATTCATCATTCACAGTTTCAGCTTTTTGTCAGTGGATCACGTGAAGGACAGCGTATTGTAAGCTGCACTTCTGCGTCCTAAGCGAGAGGACTCAGGCACCAACGCTCACCAGTGCTGACGGTGATGGTTTCAACAGATTGTTTGAACCCAAACAGCCCGAGCAAATCCGAGCCATGTGCTTCACTTGCCTTGCCACATCTCCGCGCTCAAGGACAACGATAACCAATTGCATGAAAGTTGGAGCAAAAATCATCATGACATCCGCGAAGGCACAATCTGAGGCAAACTGAAGCTGAGGAAAGATCCAAATTGACATGATAAACCACTTTTTGATACTTTTTGAACATAAATCAATGGCACTTTTTGGCCGCTAGGCGCTCGTGGCCCCGCCGCACTGCTGACATTCTGTCAGGGTCAGTGCAGTTAACCCCAGCATGTCTTCAACTGCTGGACAAATTTGCTCCAAATGAATGGGCATTTGAAGATGTTCGAAGGTCCCTTAGTACTCAGGGTTGGATTTATTTGCTTCTTGGACTTCTGCTATGACACACAACACACCATGCTTGTCAGTAACATCAAAAATTACCCTGAGCATCCCTGAACAATGTGCAGCAAGGATCATGGAGTCTAAAGGTTGCTTTGGCAGCTGTCTTCACGCTTGAACACGTCCACCAACAATCTGGCAAATGATCTCTAATATCATGATATCTATAATATGTATATATATATATATACATAATTATATATATATAACTATAATCCCGATGGGATACATAGAATATGCCCGATTTCAACCCTACGGGTGTGGACAGAAAAAAAAAATACTTAGAATATTTGGGGTAGAAATATTTGGGGTAGAATTTTGGAGTGCATAAACAGTGCCAAAGCAAATACCATAGGAATAATGATATTCCCATATCGAAAACATGTGTGAAACCCAGCAGATTGAACATTTTTTGGGTTCTGGGTAATTTTTTTCATAGTTCTACGACACCCGTCGTGGGGGGTACCCTTTGGTGAGCCTGAAAAACTTATTTTTTAAATACAATATAAAAAGAAACTGGTCATTTCGGGTGACCTGTTTTTTTGTTGAAACGTTGTAGTTTAGGAACTTCAGACGTCCAGGGTTGCTACTCCCCAAAGGGAATTACATATATTATATACCCTTTTACATGAAAGAGACCCAATTCCTTGCAGAACTACATACATAGAATACAGGTCCCAAGTGAAAATATTCATCATTTTTTTTGAGGATCACCACCCAATTCCATTGGTTTTCATTGCAAAATAGTTTTTTTTCATAGTTCTACGACACCAGTCGTGGGGGGTACCCTTCGGTGAGCCTGAAAAACTCATTTTTTAAATACAATATAAAAAGAAACTGGTCATTTCGGGGGACCTGTTTTTTTGTTGAAACGTTGTAGTTTAGGAACTTCAGACATCCAGGGTTGCTACTCCCCAAAGGGAATTATATATATATGATATATACCCTTATACATGAAAGAGACCCAATTCCTTGCAGAACTACATACATAGAATATAGGTCCCCAGTGAACATATGAATCATTTTTTTGAGTATCACCACCCCATTCCATTGGTTTTCATTGCAAAATAGTTTTTTTTCATAGTTCTACGACACCAGTCGTGGGGGGTACCCTTCGGTGAGCCTGAAAAACTCATTTTTTTAATACAATATAAAAAGAAACTGGTCATTTCGGGGGACCTGTTTTTTTGTTGAAACGTTGTAGTTTAGGAACTTCAGACATCCAGGGTTGCTACTCCCCAAAGGGAATTATATATATATGATATATACCCTTATACATGAAAGAGACCCAATTCCTTGCAGAACTACATACATAGAATATAGGTCCCCAGTGAACATATGAATCATTTTTTTGAGGAACACCACCCAATTCCATTGGTTTTCATTGCAAAATAGTTTTTTTTTCATAGTTCTACGATACCAATCTTGGGGGGTACCCTTCGGTGAGCCTGAAAAACTCATTTTTTTAATACAAGTGACCTGTTTTTTTGTTGAAACGTTGTAGTTTAGGAACTTCAGACATCCAGGGTTGCTACTTGCCAAAGGGAATTACGGATATGATACATACCCTTATACATGGAAGAGACCCAATTCCTTGCAGAACTACATACATAGAATATAGGTCCCCAGTGAACATATGAATCATTTTTTTGAGGATCACCACCGAATTCCATTGGTTTTCATTGCAAAATATTTTTTTTTCATCGTTCTACGACACCAGTCGTGGGGGGTACCCTTCGGTGAGCCTGAAAAACTCATTTTTTTAATACAATATAAAAAGAAACTGGTCATTTCGGGTGATGCTTGAATCACGGGCGGCTGCAGAAATCCAGCAAAACCTGAGATTTTTTTTTTTCCCTGATCAAAATGGATAGCCGGAAATATTCTATGTATAGGTTTTTTTTTTTCGATTCCGGAAGATGCTTTTATTCTATGTATAGGTTTTTTTGACCGATTCCGGAAGATGCTTCTGGAGGCCGAAATTATCGATTCTGTATTCTATGTATGCCATCGAGATTATATATGTATATATAGATTCTTGGCAAAACCGTTGTCCTCTGAAAAGAATTGAACAGAAAAATAGATGGTGGTAGATGTACTTCATTGTACTTCATTGGATGCTTGGTGTGACTGTCGTGCCATGTCGTGCCTTCAAAACCGCACAGACATTGGATCAGCTGTCGCAGTTTGCTGCACAGCGTTTGCTGTCTTTGGGATGGCCCTCTGCATCAAAGTTGGACGCCCAAAAGGACGGATTGTGCGGGGAAAAGGTTTTGTTGTTCCAATTCTGAGTTGCTGTGGCATGAAAGAAGTAGTTCACACACGTCACGGCATCAAAGACTGGTAAAGATGTGATCTTTCTCAGTTCATCTGCATAGTGTGGAAGCTCTGTACACTCCAACAACACCATCTTGATCGCACCATAGTCCTGACGTGAATTCTCTTCCTTCAGAATTTCCAAGACATAGTTGCTGATGGCATTTTGCACTCGGATCGTATCGACCCTCTCTGCATTGGCAACAGCATCAAAGCCTGCTAGCTGCTCACAGCCTCGAATGAGAAATTTCTCGGAGTTGGTCACCTGAATGCCGCTTTCTAACAGCAGCTTGTCCTTTCCCGGTTGTAACGTGGCTGCATTCGCCGTGAGGATCAACACCCTCTCTGCTGGTTCCATGGCTGCTGCCATAGTTGCTGCCTGGATCAAGGCACTCATGAAAACTGGAACTTTGGCGATGTGACGAGCAAAACATTGATAATACATCATGAAGCCACAGTTACCGGTAATGCCAACCACACCCTCCTCTTCCAACTTCTTGATCTCACAACTCATCTCTTCCAGAATGTTTTGGTCAAAGGATCCTTCTTGAGCCTTCTCGAAAGTCAAGCCCTTCACAATGCGCGGGCAAGTTTTGAAGCCAAAGGTGCCTGGGTGATCCACATCTCCAAATGCTGGGGGATATTCGTATTCCAGTTGCAAGAGTCCCAACTTGCAGCCTCCTGGTGACACCCCGGGGCTCTTTGCTGGAGATCGCGCAAGTTTGTCACTCAAGCGACACAGAACTTTGGCATCGTTGAAGTGGCTCAAAGATGACGCAGATGAAAACAAGTTCAACATCGTGAGCTCATTGAACACAGGGAGACCTGTCCCTTCACGCAGGAGGTTGCTGAACATGCTCAACCGGGTCGTCACAATAAGGCTCTTGATCAACATGTCCTTCTTGCCCTGCACGTTGACTTCCGAGATGCGGTCTTTGACCATCTGAAGCAACCCTGAACCCAGAGCCATGTCTTCATCTGTGTTTGTGTCGAAGTTCAAATATCGTGCCCAGCGGGCATCCTGGGAAACATCCACACCCAGGATTTCAAGACGATCCAGATCCATCACAATGTTGCAGCCCGAGCAAAAGGTGGGTTTCAACATCTCCACCTCCTTTTGGGAACCCCATGTCACCAACAGGGTCTGCTCCCGACTTTTGAATGAAGCCGAGATCATGGGCAACTGGACGATGGGCGTCAAGTAGACGGGCCGCTCTGAGATCACTTCCCGGATGGCTGAGTGATGTTTCAGCCACAGATTGCCCAAATCTGCGGTGACCCCAATGATCGACTCTGAAACGGCCAGCAGCCTCTCAAAACATTCGCGGATGGATCGCAAGGCCTCTGCATCCAAGTCAGCCATCAAGCACGCTCGAGTGACTCCTTTACACCTGGACATCAATTTTAAGGCACAACCTGCGTCCACTTTCATCACATCCTGTGGCCAAGTTCCTTCATCCACACATAGCACCGCAAAGGTCTGCTGCGACCTCTTCTCCTCAGCAACTTTGGCAAGCTGGAGAAGCCGGCCTCGAGCTCGAGCCTGCAACCAGAATGCAATGACGGTTCAGGGCAGTTGGAGAAAGGAGCTGATAAGATATTATATATATATATATATATTGTTGATAAGAGTGCATATAGTTGAATGCATAGATCATATGTATAGTGTGTATATATATATTCTATTATCTATTGATGTTTGGATGTGATGTAATACTGAGACCTGACAGCCTGACAGCCAAAATTGCCTGGCTGCAACACTTCACCAAGTCACAGCGTTCTTTGCCAAGCCTCGCTCTGCGGGCTGGTCGGGCTGGTGCTGGTCGGGCTGGTGCTGGTCGGGCTGCTTGAATAGGCTGCCATGTGGTGTGGGACTGTTGGACTTGAGCCAAACGGCTGAGATGCCAAGGGTTCATCCAAGGCTGTTGACATCTGCCGACATCTGCGGACAGGACATCTTCATGTGGGTCACTGAGGCAAGGCGCAAGACTTTTAACCGGCTCAGCCCAAGCTGCTTCAGAAAGGGCCCCACCTGTGCACAAAGAGGCTACAGCGGCAGCACTGATTGGATGCGCAAAACCCTCACCCTCCAAATTGGGATGACATGGATGACTGTGGTAACCAGTGGTATCTGTGGTATCTATCAAGAATTCCAAAATCGACCCTGACTTGTCATGGCGGATTTCAGGATGCCTTGAACTTCCACCCGACACTTGACACCTTGGGACCACGACCACGAAGCTCACGAACCAAAGCCGTTGGCGACACATCAGCGCCAGGTGCTAAGAAAAGCTCCTGTAAAAACAGTGGGACAAACAACAGTGAGATGGCGGATTCCGACGGAAAATCAATGAAAATCATCCATCAATTTTGGCTGGATTTGTCCACAGACCCGAGGAGCAAAATAGAGCAAAATGAGTCCCTTCAGCCCTTCGGCCATTCCCACATGTCAACCCACGTTCGGTGTCCCGCATCCGCTTCCCCGTGGAGACATCGCCATCCTGCATCCACTAGGTCCAGGCCGGTGTGAAAATGGCACAGATCTGCCCTGAAAATCCATAGAAAAAATCACTAAACTCAGCTGTTGAAAATGTAAGGAGAAATCACAGGAGATGTGAACACCACACGTCTTCCATGTCTTTCACTTGATTCCAGCGACTCCCGTGACAGTGTCATATTCCATATGTTCCTGGTTCTGGAAGGCCTCAAACAGATCAGCCACCAAAACCTGTCGCGGAAAGACCACTGGTCTGCAGACTACTCAGAAAGACATGCTGATTGGATCTGATTGGGGCTAACTATCAACCCTCCCCAAGAGCCAAGAATATCCTAATCGTTGGAGATTTCTGCAGCAAACCTGTGGCCTCCTTCCATATCCTCACATACTCACCAGCAGCAAAGCCAGTGGAGAAAGGCCCATGGAAATTGCACAGGCCTGGATGGTGCAGGCTTCAGCAGAACATAGCAGAACTTATTGAACTTTGAAGCTGTGTTTTTCCATGGATTCTCTGCAAGCTGATGGCCACACACCAAAACTCTCTGCAGTGTGCCTTCTTCCACAGCATCGTTGAAATCTGGCAGCACTGAGGCAATCTCCTGGCACCAAAGGCATGTTTCGAAACAAAAATTCTCCTCAAATCATCTAAAATCATGGGATCCAACATCCCAAAAAGCGAGATCGCAATCCGGGCAAATCCGGTCCTCACTGGCCAGTTGGGCGCGAGCCACTTCCAAGATCCCATCGATCCCATCCTCACTGAGATCCTGGGACCATCCACCGATTGTAAAATGGATCCCATTGGGATTCCAATGATGTTGGGATTCTCATGTTGGGATTCTCATCTTATCTAATCAATCCACCAATATCTAGTCAAACTAATCCAAGAATTGAAATTATCTAACCAATATCTAATCTAAACAATCCAATGGAGAAACTCAAAAATATGAGATCCAATTGAGATCCCAATCATTAACTGATAACTGATGGATTGAAGATTTTTTGATGGGATTCCAAATATGTTCAGCTTATCAGAACCAAATTATAGTAGCCTTCTCTGAAAATAACCCCAAAAATCATGGCTGGATTTTTACCCCAAAAAGTTTCCCGAAAAATTGGACAAACCGCACTCTGGTCCTGTGAGTGAAGTTCCAAATCAAGTTGAGCCTCAGAGCATTTCTCTCCCGGATCTTCCCAAAATTATCGCAGGTGGACAACATGGCAATCTCCAGGGTTTTTTTTGGATGTTGTTTCGGTGTAAAATTTGTAAAATGCTATAAAACAAATCTAAAGGAAACTTCTTGGTAAAAAAAAAAAATGCATTGCCCATTTACCGAAATCGCAAGTCTCTTCACACCCGAAAAGAACCGCTGGATCTCCCATCGCTCAGTTTGGCACCCAGGAAACTTTCTGGAAGAGATCCAATGCTCCATGCTTGGCCTGGCAACAACGCATCCATGGAAACAAGAAACATGTGCATATAACCACCGCAAATGTTGATGTTATAGTGCCAAAATGATTTTGTGTATGCCAAATCTACAACAAATCTGAATGATACAATATGATTATCATATGATAATCATATGATTATCACATGATACACGTTACAAATCCGTTACAAATCAACCACAACCCTGTTGTGTTGGCCATCCCCTCACCTGGGCTTTCATCGCCTGCAAGAGGTGGTCAGGAATGACCTCACCAGTCCTCATGACAGGCTGGGAGATCCCATGATGGAGGTCTTAATGGGAAAATCAATGGGAAAATCAATGGGAAAATCAATGGGAAAATCAATGGGAAAAACATCTGTAAATTATAGGAATTCCCAGCCATTGGATATCAATTAGATGTCAAAAATCACAACCTGCGAGACCCCAAGTCTCGAATTTTGACCCATAACTCTGCGGAAAGATTGGTTGATTGCTGGTTGAGCCCACTAGTGATGCTCGCCAAACTGGGCAAAGTAGGGACAAAAAGGGAACGTTTCCCGTCAACCAACCAGTGTTTCTTGATTCTGAGGCTTAAGTCCATACTTAAGATTTGAGTATATCAATGGTCTACCATGTAATTTGACGGCACCCAATTCTTCCGCAACCTGCAAGTCTTTCAGGGTCTATCAACGAAGGCCGAGGTGCTCCCAATGTCCTCCGAAGGACTGTAGAGTTGAAGGATCCATCGCCCATTGCCTCGGGGATATGATGCATGGATTCAATGCCGATTATACATATTATATACACGTATGTACATGTATATACATAGAAATATGTCGTGTATATATATATATACACATACACACACATACACACATACACACACATACACACACACATACACACACATACACACACATACACACACATACACACACATACACACACATACACACACACACACATACACACACATACACACACATACACACACATACACACATACACACACATACACACACATACGCACACATACACACACATACACACATACACACATACACACACATACACACATACACACATACACACATACACACATACACACATACACACATACACACATACATTCACAGACATACATACATACATACATTACATTACATTACATTACATTACATTAAATTACATTACATTACATACATACATAACATAACATACATAACATAACATAACATTACATTACATAACATAACATTACATTACATAACATAACATTACATTACATACCATACCATACCATAACATAACATAACATAACATACATATATTACTTACTTACTTGCTTGCTTACTTACTTACTTACATACATACGTACATACATAAATACATGCATACATACATACATACATAACACTAAATAAAATTACATAACATTACATAACATTGCATAGTCTTACATAACATTACAAAACATTACATTACATTACATAACATAACATTACATAACATTACATAGCATAACATTACATGACATTACCATACATACATATATACATGCATACATACATATATACATGCATGCGCGCACGCACGCACGCTTGCATACATACCAAAACATTACATTACATCACATCACATTACATTACATTACAAGACAAAACATAACATAACATTACATAACATTACATAACATACATTACATTACATTACATTACATTACATTGCATTGCATTGCATTGCATTGCATTACATTACATACATACAAATACACATACACATACACATACACATACACATATACATATACATATACGTATACATATACATATACATAATTGTCATATATGTATAATTGTCATATATATAATATTCAAATGTACAAATGGACGGACTGATAAAAGTTTGGACCAGGGACCCATGTTCAGTTCCTACGCCACATTCTGCCAGAATCCATTGGTTGTAGCGGCATGACGCCATTATGCTTCTCCAAAAGTCGCGTGGGCCCCATTTGGCCGGCCCAGCATAGTTTCGGTCCTCCAATTACGTACTCCAATTTGTTTCTTTGGGGGGTTCCAAAAAAAAAGAATCAAACACAGGAACCGATAAGTTTCTGACTCCATAAAATTGGGGAGAAGCGCGGCATCCATCTCCATATTCTCCGGGCTTGCAAGACCTTCCTCCTGCAATGCGAAAATGTACTGCCAGTCGAAGTGATTCACCGATGCCAGGGCATGGAATGGATTTGAAAACCTAAACACTCTGCTCCGAATGACAAACATGAAAAAGACAAAAAAAAAATACTTTACTTCGTGTGATTCCCACCATGACATTTATACATGTTCTTACTGGCACATCTTCTGGCATATCTTCTGGCATTCTATCTGGCAAATCTTCTGGCATTCTATCTGGCATATCTTCTGGCATTCTATCTGACATATCTTCTGGCATTCTATCTGGCATTCTATCTGGCATATCTTCTGGCATATATTCTGACATATCTTCTGGCATTCTATCTGGCATTCCTTCTGGCATTCTATCTGGCATATCTTCTGGAATATCTTCTGGCATATCTATCTGGCATATCTATCTGGCATATCTTCTGGCATATTTTCTGGCATTCTACCTGGCAAATCTTCTGGCACTCTATCTGACATTTTATCTTCCTACATGAGGTCCGGCAGGGAACACTTGGCATGGATACTCGCGGTTGAGGTCCGGCAGGGAACACTGGGCGTGGATGGTCGTGGTTGAGGTCCGGCAGGGAACACTGGGCGTGGATGGTCGTGGTTGAGGTCCGGCAGGGAACACTGGGCGTGGATGGTCGTGGTTGAGGTCCGACAGAGAACACTGTGGATCGCGAGTCGCAGTTGAGCAGGAGGACGAGGAGGACAACGAGAGGAGGAGGACAACGAGAGGAGGAGGAGAGGAGAGGAGGAGGAGGAGGAGGAGGACGAGGAGGAGGAGGAGGACCAGGCAACTGACATAAAATCTAACAACCCTCACCTGGCAGGTGGGGAAAAAACATGGATATCTAGCCAAAAAGATCAAAAATACTCCACAACACGAGGAAATGCAAAAGATAGATAGTTGAAAAAACAAACAAGGTTTCTCATCAGCATAGGCCTTACATTGGCATCAAATGAGAATGGAAAATTGTGGGAGGGGCGCGTGTAGGTCTACTTCACACTGCCACATTGGGCAGCGTCAATACCTCCATTTTCAGTCTCATGCATGACGGCCTGTCCCACAGGCTGCTGAACAATATATATATATTATCAAATAAAATGCATTACATGTATACATACCATGCCTATATACATATGTATATACATATATGGGCATAATGTGTTTCACCGCCCCCACCCAGTGTTTTCAAGTATTCTATATGTGCATGTTTCAGAGATGTTGTGCACGTTTCAGAGATGTTGTGCACGTGCCAGAGATGTTGTGCACGTTTCCCAGCAGTTGTGCATGTTTCACAGAAGTTGCGCACGTGTCACAGAAGTTGTGCACGTTTCACAAGCCCCCTAATAATGTTCGTGTTCAACTGCATTGGGGCGACCAAAGACGTTCTCCGGATATATATATATATATATGCACATATGTGCATCTCTCTCTCTCTCTCTCGTTTAAACATGTATGTGTATATGCAGATCATATAATGAATGCATATGTATATATATATATGATATTCTGTATGTATACAGTGTGTAAATGTGTGTATTGATCATCATCTTCATCATCATCATCATCATCATCATCATCATTATCATCAGCCTAGCATACTTTGTAAACAATCAAATGACCCGAAATCCTGTTGATTCAGCAGGTGCTGTAGAGCACCACCTGCTGCATTGAACAGCGACCGAACCTGCCAAGAGGCGATCCCCTCCGAAACCCCAAGGGGAGCAACATGAATAGATCCAATATGATCCAATATGATCCAATACATGTTCCACCAGGTCTAAAGATGTTTCAAGCGCAGGGATTCAAAATTTGGTGGAAGGGATCAATGAAACACTGGATCTTCATGGGTCAAAGCATCTAACCGCCTCGCGCAAAGACAGTAGGTTTGGACCATCAGCTGGCGGCGGCAAGTCTCCTACCTGAATTCAATCGTTCATGGTACCCCAAGAATGAAGAGCCACATCCAGATGTTTGTCGTCTCCAAGGAAAATCCATGGAAATTTCCAAGAAATCATGGGGGTCACCATGGTCACCATGGTCACCTTCACTCGACTAAGTGACTACAGTGACTCCACCAGACCGGCCATCTCAGCTTCCCGCAATGTGAGCAATCGGCCTCCTAACATCCTGGTTGTTTCCCAAGCGCTTGGAGAAACTCACGAAGGAGTCCTCAGAAAGCCCGACTTTCAGAAGAGCTTCATGGGGATCTGTTTTGTTAGGATGATTTTGTATAGATAACCATTGATGATGGATTGATAGGTTCTGTTTCTTGGGATGCTGGAATCTCCTTCACCCATTTTCCCCTGGATGACTATGATCTTTGCATATCGCCATGCACCGCACGCACCGGGCTTTTTGAGGCATTGCGAATGTGTCAACTTCGCTCACCTTCGATCACTTCGCCTCCACCTGCTGTGAAAGCGACTACCCTCCGGCAATCAAACACAAAAATCCGGGATTTATAGATGATTTGCCCATATTTTCTAAAGGATCGCATTAAGATCCCATATTCTTGTGTTAAGGGAGATCCAAAATATTTTCCCATGTTTTCCGATTGATTTTCCCATTGATTTTCCCATTAAGATCTCCATTTCTAAGGGATCTTCCAGGGATCTTCCATTCCCACCTTCAGCGAAACCAGGTCATTGGGTTGAGAATGCTCGGCATGCTGAGGCTGGGCAAACCGATGCTGGGCAGTTCCATACCCAACACCTGGCGTCCACTCGTGTTGCATGGTGTTGCATGGTTTTGCACAAAGAAATGACCATCAAAAATGGGGATGATCCATATATATCATATATATATGGGTTTATTGTATATATATATAATTATATATATATGATGATGATGATGAAACTATAAATCATCAACCATATTGCTTAACCATCAACTAAGGAAAGTTGCAGAAAATTGCGGGAACTACTCAAAACTCGGTGGGTTTGGCTCCACTGATTCCAAGTGCCAGCCTTCGTCGGAGCCTCTGACGTGGTTGCTTTCCCACCGTCCTTGGTGGAACGTCATACGGCCAACCCAACCTGCTAAGGCTTGGAGCGGGATGGAGTGTCCCCTCACTATCCCCTGTCTGGGAGATGGTGAAACTCGCATTCCAAGGGAATCTTGTATATAATGTATATAGATTAATTATCCCTTGTCTACTGTTGCGGGTGGCTTGCGCCTACAGTGAAAGTTCTGTGTGTCAAAACTGAGCCGCAAAATAGGCCGTGAACAGAATTCAATAGTCCCAATCCTATCTTTATCAAAGGATAGGCGCATCTTGCCCCATCCCGACATGATGTTGCTGCTATTTTCCGAACAGATCTAGACATTAATCAGTAATCTGTTAAATCCATGTAAATCCTCTCAAGTCATCAATGTTCGTTCTGAATGGGGTGTTTATGAATAACGTTTACCCCTAGACTTTGGGAGAGGAACTCCCCCTGGGTGCTCCGACCTCAGCCTTGGCAGGAGCAACGACTCCCTTGATGCCTGTCGGACCTGTCGCCCTGGCCTCGGGCACGTCACGGAGTGGTCCCAGTCACAAGAAAAAACATAAGATACATGTATTCATATGTAAAAGTACATTATAGCATATATATACCCTCTGGTTATTTAACATAGCCATGGAAAATGGCCCATTTATAGATGATTTTCCCATTAAAACCTCCATTTATAAGGGATTGTCCATGGCTATGTTAAATAACCAGATGGTATATATATATATAAAGAAAAGAAATATAGATATACCATATAGAGATATAGTTTATGAATGTAGATTTTCTCATTGACCCCAATATATTATATTATATTATATTATATTATTATATATTATGGCTTATAGGTTTATATCTCCACATGCACAATATCAAAGCCATGTATATCAGATTGATACAGCGGCCAAAACCTGGATCGCATGGGATATGGTCATCCGTCCCACAGGAATCCCAAACTCATGGGATATCATGGGTATATTAAACCCTATGGATTGATGTGGCCATCAATCCCAAAGTTGGTATGTCCAACTTTTGACCATGGCGCAGATGGGGCGAGGAACTCAAGAGGAACCCCAAAGTCCATGGAGAAACTGAAAAAAATATTCTCCCCTGTTCGAGGAATGGGACTAACAAATATCAACAGATTCCATCAACAAATACTAACAATAATATATTGATATATTTGCAATAGATGCAAATGCATCAATTAAAACCAAATCCAACAAGAGATTTGCAGAGATCAGAGTGCCTCGTCGGAAGACTGTGAAGACTTGCTGGCAGATACTGCCTTTACCTCCTCGGCAATCCTCAGTACAATCTTTTCATGGCACCTAGCTTTGCCATTTAAGTGGTGATACCCTCTGGTTATTACTAACATAGCCATGGTATAGATGGCCCATTTATAGATGGTTTGCCTATTAACAATGGTGATTTTCCATGGCTATGTTAAATAACCAGATGGTAAATGTCAAATTTGCTTGCATGTTCCAAACTTTGCCTGTATCTTTTCCGATACTTTGCCTGCATTTTCTAAACAACATCATTTTCCCTATGAAAATGCAATGTATCGGGTACTCGATGACCATTTTCAGACCTGATTTCACATGGCTTCGTTTTTCTTCAATCTTTGGGCGAACCCAGCATATCTGAAGGCTGAGCATCAAATGGCTTGTGTCGGAACCAAAGAGCTCGTCTGACAAGGCTTTTCCGGAGGAGAGTTTCCTCACACCTGGGACGACTCCAGTCCACAGGGTTTCGAGCTTTCCACATGGCAGCCATGGCACCTCGACCCAGGACAGAGAGGGTGAGGTTCAAAGCCTTTCTGGCGATCGTGGGATTCTCCATGATGGCATCCAAAGCCTGGCGCGGACCAAGGACATATTTTGTTCACGAAATCTGGTCATTGATGCATCGTGCCACATCCATGTTAAATATGCTTAAATCGAACTAACACTGACTAAGATATGGAACTTACAGAAAGATACAAAGATTAATGATGCACAATGATGCATAATGCCTAGAGAATCCACATGAATCCACTGATATCATGTGTCAACATGTGAAGCCGCACGCATCCGCAGTCCGGGCCTTCTCTGTGGGAGCATCTCGGGGGAGCTTCGAGGCATCCGTGTCGAAGACCAAATCCGTCAGATTGGCGCTGGACAGTTTCCTCAAGTGCTGGGAGTGGATGGTGCTCTGAAAAATGCTGGTGTATATTGGTGTATTTATGTTATGTTCTATGTGCGTGTATGTATATATATATATATGTATATATATATGTATATATATATAATTAGATATTATATATATATAATCATATAATTAGATATTATATATGTATATATTATATATGTATAAATTATATATGTATATATTATTATATATTATATTCGAGATTGCCCTTGGATTTTTACCAAATATCCGTAGGTATTTAACTTTTTGCAGGTCATCCACGAGATGTTTCACATAGCACCACTTCCTCCAGGCATTGAGCCACGATTCGCTGTGACCTCCGCCAAGAGTTCCCTGTCTCGGGTCAGAATCGAAGCCACCTGACGTGGAAAAAATGGGTCCAGCTGCCAAGATAGGTGATGTTAATGATGGTCGCGTCAGTGGCTTTAGATGAATAGGTTCCATTTGACAAGCTGACAAAGGTTGTAATACAGATGTCATATATTTCATTTGTTTTACCATGATTAATCCAGTGTCACCTGCTTTTCAGTCGAAGAGTCTCGTTTTCACTGGCCTGCTCTGGACTGAGAGCAGCCACATCTTCTGCTGTCATCACAGCGTCCTGCTGAGAGGAAGCAGCTGAATCGCTGAGTCTAACTGAGGGAAAGTTGGGAAAGGCAACCGTGGAAAATGTCCTGTAGGTTGTGAGGGTGAACAGGTTTCCTGGGCAGGTGGATGATTCGTTCACAGACTGCGTGGAAATGGGCTGCAGAGCAGCCACCACTCAAGCCAAAATAATCGTAAACATATTACAGTCCAACACGGGGACACAACCATCTTCTTGCAGAATCGAGTCAAAAGAATATGTTTCACTCTTTCTTATGTGTGTGCGCCAAGTTATTTCCGCTGGCAAATCAAAAAATACAATGTAGATGCACATACATGTCTCCCAAAACCCAGGCTTCAGCCGTCGTGACTGAGGCTCTCTAGCGCATGGCTGGCTTCAGACTCTTGCGTCCAGTACGGGGTCGCTTCGTTGGCATTCCTTGTGGCTTTGTCAAAGATGTCAAGGGCATCCATCTCCAAAGAAGTCGGAGGAAAATGCGTGATCAACATCCACATCATCCACTCAATCCGTTCAATTCATTCAAATCTGCCGCCCAAGGCTCATGTATCCAGGGACCTTGACAGAACTCGGTGCAGCGCCTTCTTTCTTCGTCTCTACCTTTGCAGCAAGGTCCTGCGCCAAGATGCTCCAAGGCTGCCGAAAACTGAAACGAAGAGATTCGAAAGGACAGCTCTGGGACAAGTGGAACACACCCCGAGTAACCACCATGGCACAGTTCAGGTTGCAGGGGGTTCAAGGAGCCTCAGTCGCGTTGCTCCCTGGAGCCTCTGCCTTATCCGCCTTATCCGCCTTGTCTGCCTCATCAGACAGTTCTCCTTGGCCACGAGTGTAGCGATGCTGTTCCAATTGTCAAATTCACCGGCAACATTGGCCCACTGGTTCATTCGGCATTGGCAAGCGTCTTTCATGCTTCTCAATCTTCTCAATCTCTTCCAGCCGAGAAGAAGTCCTCGTGAGCTGTTCCAGATCAACTTACAGTGGGAGCCCTGACTCACAGCGTGGACATCAGGATTAGATCAGGATTTATCAGTTTCTTCAACCCAGGTGGAAGGTGCTGCATGGTGCTGCCAAGCAGCTCCAGCACTTGCTCAGACAACTTTTTGAGCATTGCCTTGACATCCTCCTCAGCTCCTGCATGCCGATGCTCACTGAAATTCTGCCAACCTCTTCACCCCAACAGCCAAAGACCACCATCATGTATGTTCCGCAAACTGTTATTTCACTATATTAATATATGGGTATGGGTCAATACCTATAGATACATTTTTAGTGGGATGAACATCCATTTACCAGCTATTTTGGGGTTCACTAGGTACCAGGGTTTTGACCCATCCCCATATGTTCATGCTGCAGCCGTTTTCGTAGTTCGGTAAACCTCCTGGAACTACACTACGAAATTGTAATGACCGCTGTCCGGGCGGAGCGGTTTCGTAGTTCGGTGTATTGTTGGCCTCTACCTGAGGTCGTGTTCAGACCGGTCCAAAGTTGGGAGAGTTGAAGATATCCCAGTTCTTTCATGTTCTTTCCCCCCATGGACCATGAAATGATGACCTTTAGGGGAAATTGCAATGGAAAATCTCAACGGCTCTTTAGACAGTGTGTCATGGATTCTGCAAGGTGAGGCGTGATTTGATAAACTTGGCACCACCATTCCAATGTTGGTCAATCTCCCTGAAAAAATATGAAAAAAGAAATAATGCAAATTCTGCCGGGGATGGAGTCTCTCAGCGAAGTCTATACATGCAGCAGGCCCGAAAACGGGGGCTTCAACAACTCTCCTCGAGTGCTCAATTGCCCTTGTATAAATTATCCTAGATGACCCATAATTATCGTTGTTTCGGTTCATCCGAACCAAAAAAATTCACCGATTTGGTTGCTCCAATGTTCACAAGAAATGTGTTCCTATATATCCCAGAAGTGTTTAGAACAAGATTTGAACTACAGCGGGATGAAAAACTTGTGGAGTTGAAAGGCACCAAAGCCAAACCGACCGCCCATTTCTGCCATGGCCATGCCGTGCCACGTTGTGCGCCACCTGCGCCGAAGCATCTGCTGCCGCAGCAGCCGAGGAAGCGGCAGCGGCAGCAGCTGCGGCAGCTGCTTCCACCACCTGGTCCAAGTTCCTCGGTCGAGTCCAACGGAATCCACGGGATCCACGGAATCCACGGGATCCACGGAATCCACGGGCCGTTACGGCCGTTGATTTTCGAATCTATTTGAAAAATATGGACTATTTGATACTATTTGTAATTTGTATATAGTATGTTTATATGATTGTTTATGATTGTTTACTGTTTTGTAATGGAAACGGTCAAGAATCTAGTCCTATACAATCTGCTCCCAAGGCTAAAGGGGGAGTCAACCAGAAGTGTTTCTTGTCAATGTGTTTTTCCCAGTTGTCCTTCATTCGTGAAGATGGCCTATGTGAGGCTTTGGCGACCAACAAAAGGCGACCCGACCCTGTGAAGAACAAATCCGTGAACGCCTTCAGATCCTTAACTTGGCCCGATTGATCAATTACCCTCTGGTAAACTAACATAACTATGGAAAATCACCCTTTTTAGTGGGTATATCAACTATAAATAGCCATTTTCAATAGCTATGTTAAATTACCAGAGGGTATCCAATTGGAAAATTCAGAAACATGAAACAACTAGCGCACATTCTTCGCCAAGAGGCTTTGAAGCAGGTCGAGTAGAAGCATGGATCTCCTGTGTTCCAGACCGCCGTGGATCAACATCAGTGCATGCAAAATATCGGTCAAAACGTGATTGAAAATCTTACGCCATCCAATTGACATTAGATTCAGAACGTTTCTTGCTGTGGATGCAAATTATGTAAACCCCCAGAGATGTTGGCCATTGTCAGAAATCCCTTCTCCCTCATAATAAACAACCCCTTGAAACCGTGGTTCCATACTGGATCTGTTCCGGGCATCGTCAACAGCCAATATGTTGCAATGCTCAATCGCAAGCAAAATTTAAGAAGATTTAAGCCCTCAGCTTCCTAATTTTACTATTCTATTACATATACCATACCATTCCATACATTCCATATCATTCCATTCCATACCATTTCATTGCGTTGCATTCATTGGCATCACATGACATTGACATACATACAGGCATAGGTATTTACATATACACATATATACATACCATACATTACTTTACGTTTACATTCCATTAACATTAACATTAACATTAACATTAACATTAACCTTACATACATACATACATACATACATATATATATATATATATAATTATATATGTACATATACCTATATATATATGTGTGTGTGTATCAAGCCTGATATTTGATATTCCCCAGTTCCCCCATCCCCAGGCAGTCCTTGATCTTTGCGGCCAAGACATCGCGCAGGTCGTGGCGAACCGAGGCCACCACCTTGCCGGACACGAGCACCACGTCCTGGCGAAGCTACTCCACCTATTATCACTTGCCTGGTGAATTTATGTGTTTCAATCAATATATATATATATAATGATGTATATCTATCTATATATATATATAATGATGTATATCTATCTATATATATATAATGATGTATATCTATCTATATATATATAATTATGTATATGATTATGTATATATATATATTGTCAATATCATATATCGATCCCAGTCCATTGAAATATATTCTATGGGCCAAAAAACCATTCCATGCTCTCCTGATGGCTGAGCCCAGCGGATTTCGCAGCCCACAGGGCTGTGGCCGCTGCAGCGGTGGCTTCCTGTTCGGGGGAAAGCCCGACCTCGCAGCGCTGACGTGCTCCGAAAGAATGACGACTGAATTGGAAAGTTGATAATATGATGATATAATGTTGATAATATAATATATATTAGAATGTTGATATTGGAATACAATGATGATATTGATATTAATTAGAATATGATGATATTAATTCCATATGTTGGAATAATATGTTGATAATATGACGATTGATATTCTAATTTCAATATATTCAACTTTCTCCAATAATATATTGGAATACAATGTTGAATAATATGTTGAATAATATGTTGAATGATATATTGGACTAATGATGATATATTGGACTAATGATGATATATTGGACTAATGTTGAATATTCTATTGGATGATGACTACTATAATTATTATGTAGTTATTTTTTCATGATAATGATCAACGGGTTCACTATATTATAATAGGCGACTTTATCGTGATGTCTAATAATATATAGTGAATTATTGGGGATTATATATAGTGATGTGTGCAATAATGACTCTAGATTATCAAACCTACTACAATTATTGGGATAAGAAACTAATATAGTGATTAACCATCGCTTGGGATCAACTGCGTATGGATTCTTGACCGGACAACCCAATCTTCATCAACCAACACAGACATCGGTGGGTAAAATCAGAGAATACTGTACCCAAAAAATGATGCTTAAACATCATTCTTCCTATCTAAATTGCAATTTTGGGTATCCCCAATTTTTGGACAAACTCATATCGTTTGGTTAGTGTACATTCTATGGTGTCCAATTGTATCCCCACAAAACGGTGACATTTTGATCCTCGGAAAATGCTAGCTATCGCAGTATTACATATTCTATAACTATATAACCCACAAATGGAAGTTTGGCAGCCCATGTTTTCTCACCACCGAACTCACCATTTGACCCGTGCCTTTTGGGCTGCAACCTCTGCTGCCAGGACGGCTGCTCGTACCTCAATGAGTTATGAGTCGTTCGCAGGTCGCTGTCTGTCAAAATTCAAGCCACGCCAAAACGATCATCCCATGTCACTACAGAAAAAAGACACACAAATAATAAGAAAATAGTGGGAATAATGGGACTATGATGGAAATAGTATGAATCAAGTACCACAACCGGATGGAGTCAAACCCTATCAAACCCTACAATAAGATGATGATACCACCATGGCACCATGGCACCATGGCCCCATGGCACTTCGTTCGCACCATCGTCCCGGCCTGTTCAACGGCTGTCATGCCCAAAGCCTTCATGGCCGCGCTGGCCGCATGGCCCGCAGCTTTTACCACCTCCATTGGACTCAAACCTGCAGCCACCGCAGCAGCTGCTGCTGCCTCGCGCTGTCCAAGGGTCGCAGTTGTAGTGGGAAAACCATGGAGGAAAACCCATAGAAAACCCATAGTGACTGGTGATGTAGCAATGTAGCAAAACATCACCATAATTCATTGGCAACAAACGAAACCCAGCCTCACCGGCGCGCGTCGCCTGCTCCTCTGAAGAGAGGCCTTCTGCACGGGCTGCAGCAGCGGCAGCGATACCAACACCCACAGCCTACGTCGACACGTCGCTGTTGGACACCCAAAATAACCCAAATCTGAAAATCGGATGGGGTAATTGTTGGTAATCGCTGGGTAAATCTGTTTATAAATTAATTGTGTCATTCCAAATCGCACAGGCAAACTTCTCTTGGACTGGGATGTTTCACATATATCTATTATGAGATCACAAATTATTCTACTAGCTGCATTCTTCGAGACTCTGTGTGCTGGTGGAAAAAAAGAATGAGATTTGTTTTGACTCCAAAGAGCACTGCAAATTTTCTGTCAAACCTGATGTGGTAAAGCCAAGAATGAACCATCCCGATCCCATGAATCAACCATTTGGGGTTTTTGATAATCCCATTGTGAGGGGTATATCCCATAATAATCATCTATTATCACACTATCATCCATAATTATCCATACAGTATCCCAGATCATCCATCATTAACCATGATTATCATATATCCCATATAATATCCCATATAATATCCCACTATCATCACCCATGTAATATCCCATATAATATCCCAAATATAAACCATAGTTAATCATGGAAATTGTTAACCCATGTAATAAACCCATTATTTTCACCTCTGGGTAACATTAAATTAACCATAGGTTTAAACCCATTATTGTTAACCCATGTAATAAACCATAATAAACCATGTTAATCATGGGAACTGGCTTATTCTTGAGTTAACAGTTCCCTTTCCGAAGCCAGCCTCGAGGTGTGCCGGACTGTGCGTCGTCGTCGGTGCATGGCTGGTGAACGGCACCTGGAGCACCAGTTTGTGGTCACCTTGCTACACCATCTTTCGACCTGTATCAACACACATAGATTTATTTATATGTATATTACATATAATAGTACATATATATATATATATATATACGTACTTATATGGGTTATGTATTGTGATATATAAATAGAACATAAATAAAACCAGATTTTAGTGGATAATCATGAATAGCCGAATAGCCACCAATGGTCTTGTGACCGAACTCGCCTCGTGATGAGCTGTGGTGCTCAGCACGGTGGATTTTGTCGTGGAAGCCTTCGTTGTCGTCATGGTGGTCGTTGTAGCTGTCGTTGTGGTCGTTGTCACCGTGGTAGTGGTGCTCGTTGGAGTGGTGCTCGTTGGAGTGGTAACTGTGGTGGTGTTCAGCGTCGTTGTAGTGGTGGCCGATGTGGGGCTTGGCTCCCAAGTGTCAGTGGTATTTGCCGCAGTTGTCGTCGGAGTTGTCGTCGGAGTTGTTGCGCTTGTGTTGCTCCTCCAGTTGAGTCAGAAATCTCAGCTAAAGATAGCTAAAGCACACAAGACAGTCTTGACATCTTGACAGGTGCCGCAAAGAAAGCTGCAAGCTTAAATTACTCTCAAAATGCTCAAATGTGTAGCAAAACAATGTGACATCAAAAAAAAACACATCATGGATGGTACTCTCCATCCTGTCCTGGTAGTGCCTGTCGTCTCCTGTCCAGGCCATGACAAAAGACAATGATTGGAGTCTCCCTCGTTTTTGGGACCCAACAACGGCTTACCAAAAACTTGTTAACAAATCATCCCAGTTATTGTTGTTTACATCATCTATAATATCTATATGTATCCAACTGTGCTTGGGTGGCTCTGGTTGGGTACACACCAGTGTTTGTTGGTTGCCATCACCTACTTGTCTGTAATATAGTCCTACAAATACTCGTATCATTGATATCTTCATTCGAAATGATAGTGGCTATAGGTCAAAATAGGCTACGAGATGGTACCAGCAAATCCACCAATTTCGGGTTTGAGAATTTTGACCCATACAGTAGGTATCATGTATATCATTTGCAAGCATGTGCATCGAATAATTTGTATTATGTTTACTTCATGTATATATCATGTGCACATCATTTATATCGCATAAGAATATCTAATAATATCCGTACATAACCTAAATCCACACATATATACATATACGTATATATATAATATATAATATCTATAGTATATACAACTACATACATATCTAGAATATATAATATAAGTTAATATAATATATACATATATTAATCATATATACATATTATATCCATCCATCCACGTTCCCAATTCCCGGCCTTCGTCGTCTCCAGCGTCAGCGTCGTCTCCTCTGTGGTCGTCTCTTCCTCCGTGGACTCCGGCTCGACGGTGGTGTCCGACCTGCCGAAATCAGCTGCTGGTAGCTGACCTGGTAGATTCCCCTAGGGAAAACATGGGTCAACATAGAAGAAAGACATGGAAAAGCCATGCTTTTTGTTAGGAATAGATGATCTAGGAATGGTGGCTTTTCCATATCTATGTTAGTTTACAGGAGGGGAATGATATTTATGGGAAATTATATGACATTTATGGATGTTTAGAAACCACTACAAGTAATATCTATAGAAACATACCATAAATTGATCTGATTTCTTTGGAAGTTTATTGATGTTTGGAAACCAACAGTACCATAAGTATGTTGCAAATATGATTGTACAAGTATGATTGTATCATGGTACTGTTTATTGCGTTCAATGATTAAAATATCAAGTCTTAATCTGGATATCTAATATGTTTGATCAGAATTGCTGCTCATAGTATGTATGCCCATAATCTAGTGCTTGCTGCTGTTGCCACGGATAATCTAGCAGTCTGGAAAAGAAATAAACTTCTAAGTATCTGGATTATTACACCAGTAGTGCAATCAGAACTTTTTACACCAATGGGCCTTGAATCAAGAATGAAACGGGCTTACAACCAAAAACGCATCTATAGTATTCTATAGTCATAATCTGGGTGAAATTTTGGGTGCAATCCCACTTACCCTGAGGCCCCGAACCCTGGCGCTGAAGTGCTTTCCTCTTCCAGTATATCTGCGTCGGCCTCATCCTGGCATAGCGAAATATAGCGAAACTAGAATCAATACTTCCCTGCTGTTCCAAATCCCCATTCACACGGTGATGTTCTCAACGTCGAATCTCATGAGTGGCATCCTGATGGCTGCTGATCACCGCTGTCCTCCAGATCTGTTTCCTCTGGCTGCCGGACAGACTTGGCCGACTCGGCAGAGGCATCTACCGCGTGGCCGAAGCTCGTGAGCCTCGTTGAAATCTGGTAAAGTTTGGGGATGTATGTATGTATGTATGTATTATATTATAATATATATATATATACACGCATATATATATATATATATGTATACATTCTAAAAAAATGATCAGAAAGCATCCAACTAGCATTTGCACGTAGTCATCCGAAATGTCGCCAGGATGCTCTTGAATCCTGTGTCTCAGGTCCTTAGGTGGAGCAAAGATCAAAATTTGAACGGTTTCCAAAAGATATAGAAAAAACATGGAACCTCTTCTTTCTTGATACTTGCCATGAAACTAAAACCGTTTCACGTTTTGGTGACGTTCGGTTCTGGCACACAAATTCAACGAGCCAAGAATCCAAGTCTTCTCGCGGTCGTTCGTGACCAAAATCTCGCCTCATGACCTGGTATCAAGACAAACTGTGCAACACTTAGAACATGTTGCGAACTTTTAACGCCTTTTGTAGGGACGGTTTGACAATGATTTCAGGTGGCCGCAACACAACAAGTCCAACTACAAATTGCACGCACGGTTTTTCGTCAAACATCAAAAAATGATGCAAGATGGCAAGATGTGGGAAGTGTGTGACACATTGCAAGCATAGAAGAAAAGATTGACGTCTGGGAAGGCCATGGAAGGCCCAGGGTGTGCGTCTCTGAGGGATGGACAGCATTTCCAGAAGAGCTGAGCGTCGCAATGATGTTTTTTGCCAATGGACTCAGACCCTCGGAATCTTCGGTGGCACTTGACATCATCAAGGGCCACAACAGCACAACACGGTGCAGGAGCATCGTGAATCTTGGAATGTCCTGTTCACGACCTCGGCTGTCATTCAATCAAAATGCGCTGAAATCAAGACATGTCAAAATATGTCAAAATCAAAACCTGAAAATGCAATCTAGAGTTATCAGCTCACACTTGCTTGGAACAATGACGATCGTTCACTTCTTCTGGAAGTCGCTAATTTTTGAATTAAATATCCTTGCCACGGGCACTGAAATCAGCGACAATGCGCTGCCATATGAAGTCGTAGAGATGAACCTTAGAGCCACAGCGAAACTGCTGCCAGCAGCCAGCATCACACTCAGCTGAAATGACGAAGTGGAAAATCTGGCTCCAAAAAAAAACAGAAAGGATGACTCGAGTACCCACCGACCTCCATCATTAGAATAGCATCCGTAGCCAAGGGACAAGCGAACGGGGGCCTGCCTGGTTTTGCAAGCTGACTTTGGTCCAGAATGGCCGCAAATGCCACTGATATGCAGAAGCCGCGCGGCCACAATGGACTCGACCATGGTTGTCTGTTTCAAGTGCCTAACTTGGTATCAAATCCCCACAAATCCCAAAAACATCCAAAACACATTTCCAGATGATCCACTGCCACTGATTGCCTGGTGATTCTGTCCGCCAACTGCCTCAAGAAGCTTAGCATTTGGAAGTCTGGGTGCTCCAGACCGACCAAAAGCCCCCCGAGCGAAGCTTCTTGCCATGCTGGAACCTCGATAGTTACATACAGTATGGGTCGAAGCTATGAAAATTATGAAAATCTCCAAGTCTCCAAAGATCTCCAAAGTCCCAAACTTGGTCCAGTTTCATCAGAACCACTTTAAGACTTTGACCCAATGGGAAGCAAGCTGCAAATGCTTCGAAAATCGCACAGCTCAACTTAGATCACCGCAGGTCCAAATACAAACCCGCGATGGGATGCTGCCTCGAATACCGAACTTCGATCTTCGCTCGAACTCAGCAGGTTCAGCTGACGGCTGACGTCACTGCGGTCCCAGGTACGAGTCAACATCCACCACGCGATAAAAGCGGATGCTCCTGGAGAGCAGTAACTTCAGGAAGCAGAGGAGCCTTGGTTTCTACGCTTGAAACTGCTTAGCAAATGCAGAAAGATCGAAAAATAATCTGTTCATTTTGGATCATTTTGGCTTTCCTGATTGGTTGATTAGTTGATTCAGGACCGGAACATCAACTGTGTCAACGCGCATCTGAAACTCAGCCTCTCCTGTGCCACAACGGCACTTCCCTGCGTGAAGTCGCCGTCTCCAATCGGACCTTTTTGGGGATGACCCCATGATGACCCCATGATTTGTTTCAAACAAAACAAAACAAATGAATCAAACTGCATCATAAATATATAATATATATGTATATATTATATATGTGTAATATATAATGATATGTCATGAACATTAATCAACCAGGGTTTATTGATCTGTCGTTGACATTACAGTATTCTTTGATTTCTGTGCCATCACCGACCAAAATCTCTGTCGACCAGAGATCCCAGCATTAAAGAGGCGCTCGATCAGTTTGAAGAGACCACGGATCCTCGAAGAACACACATGTTTCATACCCTCTGGTAATTTAACGTAGCTATTGAAAATGGCCATTAATAGTGGATTTTCCCATTAAAAATGGTGATTTTCCATAGTTATGTTAGTTTACCAGAGGGTATATGTTGATTATATACCTAGATATGTGACAGGATATGTGACAGTGGGGTCGATATATCAATATCCTCTAGTGTCTTCATCGTTAATGTGTCGTGTTTTCATATTGTGACAGTGGCCATGTTTGAAGGCGATACCGGATGGTTTCGAGCTGTGATCAGGAAAAATTAGATACGGATTGGCATAAAAGTTACAAGAAACTCTCGCAGTCTGAGAACAGCGATGCCAGCTTTGTTGCCACAATTGTTGCCACAATCTGGCAAAAACTAAAGAGCCGACACACCAGTTAGCGGAAGGTATGGCTCCAGCTGTGCCTCCTGCGCTCCAGAAACTGTGCCCATAGCATCTACAAAGAGAAATCAAACGGTACAGATCGGTACAGTATCACAGTCTGGCAGCACCTTGGTTTCCTTCATTGACAGGAAAATATTGGGAAAGTACATCGTAGATCTTGTGAGCAGAACCTATCCACTCTTGAGATCCTCGAATTCTGACTGCTTCATCTTGGATCTAACGTGATCGATGTCCTGCGGCGATTCTGCAAAACACTCGACCCGGTCGACCCGGTCGACCCGGCAAAGCACGGCAAGTTGTAATTCAGCAGTCCCAAACTCGAAGGTCTTCGTCAGCAAAGGTCTTCAAATCCTCGCAGAGTCAAGAAGCGGCAGCCATATAGCCAGATCATAGATCTATATTAATAAAATAATGATGGATCCATATAGCTATATACCTATATATTTTACAATATTTTACAATAATGATCTATATAGGCCTATTGGGGAAAGATGTAAAATATTGTAAAATAATCCCCGAGCGGATGGTGAATGTGGTGATGCAGGGATTGTTCATGGGGTTTTCTGCACCATGCGTCAAGTCACTGAGGTTTCCCTGACACAACAGCAGCGCACAACTTTTCTGGCAGAGCAAATTGTTTGCCATGCCCAATTGGTTCATTCGTCACGCCCAGATTCCTTGGCTCCTCAGCCATTTGAAATTCAGCTGGGGACTATGCAAGTGCACCAACTACAACTAGAAACCGTACAATATCATGGTGGCCATTTTCAGCTGTAAGCAACAAAGGCGTTGCACCCGTCCTTGACGCTTGATCTTTGGCTGCACCATGCTGGACTAGAAAGCGCACAAGATCAAGGTGGCCATTTTGAGCTGCAAGCAACAAAGGCGTGTAACCACTGCTATCTGCTTGATCTTTGGCTGCACCATGCTCGAGTAGAAACCGCACAATGTCGGGGTGGCCATTTTGAGCTGCACGCAACAAAGGCGTTGCACCATAGGTGCAGCCAAAGATAAAGCAGATAACTATGGCATAGTTATCTGCTTGATCTTTGGCTGCACCATGCTCGACTAGAAGCCGCACAATGTCGAGGTAGCCATATTGAGCTGCACGCAACAAGGGGGTTGCACCATTGTTTGCAGTTCGATCTTTGGCTGCACCAACTTCTGCCAGAAACCGTACGACGTTAAGGTGGCCATTTCGAGCTGCAACCCACAAGGGTGTTTCACCGTCGTTATCTCCTTGATCCTTGGCTGCACCATTTTCCACAAGGAAGCGGACAGCATTTAGGTGATCATTGCGAGCTGCAGCAAACAATGGTGTCCTTCCTCGGAACTCAGGCTCATCTGTCTTTGCTCCTGCCTCCAGTAACACTTCCATAAGCTGAACATGTCCCTGCTCTGCAGCACGGAACATGGGAGTCTTGCCATCTTTGTTTGCCACATTTGACGAAGAAACGGAGAAAATGATCTCGACATCTAGGGACAACTAGATCGTTGTCCCTAGATGTCGAGATCATTTTCTCCGTTTCTTCATCATCAGGTGGCCAGAATTCAAAGACAACCAGCTGGATCTTTGGTGGAGCTGGATCTAGAATTTCATCATCCTGGATCTCTCGCGAACCATCTTCAACAAAGCACCTTTGCTTGAACCTGGAAATGCCAACCTTAGCTGCCAAAGCCCTCTTCACGGCCTTGGCTGTTTGGCCTTGCAAATCATCTTCAAGGACTGTGAACCTCTCGCCCGATGTTGGAAAACACACCTCCATGGCTCTCGGAGACCCAAAGTGAAGTGGAGAACGAGCACGTTTATGTGTTTATAAATGTGTGTATACTATGTAATATATCATGTACATATATATATATTACTATATATATATACGTATCATATACATAGAGTATATACTGGATATAATGCAGACATACACATATCATAGACAGAATGCATAAAACGCGACACCTTGACAATGACAAATGACAATCGCTGATACGCACTTCATAGTGCTTCTTCAATGTTTCCAGTCTGCACAGTCTTCAACTGCAGCATATATCAGAGGCGTTCACTCCGCAAGCAACAACTTGAGATGAATATGGCTGGGTGATATATTACTTCGATTGAGAATTTTGATCTGGCCATTGATATTTCATGATCTCTGAAGCAAAGGCCGGTGACTGAGGTAGAATCCACCCGAAAATGAAGATTTTCTGGCAATTCCACAGGTTGCTGAGGATGCTAAGGAACATCTGGTTTCCAATGTCCCTCATGGGTTTCATGGGTTTCACATCGGACGTCTCCTTGAGTTCTTCCACAGCTGCCGCCTCGCTACTTTCACGTAAGGCTTGCAGCAACATCTCCACCTGCCAATTGGAAATTGGACGTTTTCTGATGTTAGTAAAGCAATAGGATCAACCATCCCCAGTTTTACCATGAACGGGTGGTAACAAGTATAAACTAACCATAACTAACCAACATCTGGGTGGTTTATTGGGTTTAACATCCAAAATCCATGGATCTGTGGATCCTCATACGTGGCCTCCGCTTTCGAAGCGCTACGAGCTTCGAACACCAAATCAGCAAAGTTCCTGTAGCCTGTTCGGACATCTTGCTGCTTTGACATTGGAATCATTTGAATGAAAGCTTCAAAGCTGGGCTCCAAACCAAGCACTGCGGCCCAATCCTGCAGCATCTGCTTCCACCATCTCAAAAACTGGGCAGTTTCTCTTTTTAACAAAAAATACAAAAACAAAAATGATCAAAAATGAATCGTGTATAAATTATATTGAATATATATCATAATATTGTCAGCTGCGAAGCATTGTCAGATGTTGTCAGCGCATCGCCTGTCGAATCCGCAGCATCTCAGCAATCACCGGCAGATTGCCAGAGCCAAGCCTCGATCCGTGGATCGCTACGTCGCTACGTGGCTCGCTACGTGGATCCCCAACTGGTCGGACCGCGATGGACCGATGGCCCGATGGACCGATGGACCGCGCCTGCGAGCTGCCAGAAAGGCTTTCCGGCGCACATCAGCGTTCTCAGCATCTCGACCATAAGCTTCACAGGCCTTGTGAACATCTGAAATATGATATATGATATAAGAAAATCATAGAAAATATCAGTATGTTACTGGATTTGACACATCTGACCCCCAGATGGTACATCCAGTTGAATTAGTGTGGGACGCTTTGGATGGAAAGTCAGCCGTGTATATCTGTCCCAAAGATCAGTCACCTGAAATTGTTAGGACTGGCTGAGTATCTACTCTGGAGCCATGGTAGACAAAATGACAAAATCACAAGTGGGTCATGAAATTTGTCAGACAGGTGAAATGCAGAGCAAAGTGTTTGTTCGCATTCTATGTGATAGCCCAAGCTATCCGCCCAGGGTACTACGTTTGGCAATTTTGGGCACAAATTTCATCAGTTTATTTCTTCTCCTTCAGATACATAAAAGTGTGGGATACCTTATGGAACCAGAATGGCTTCCTCCATTTTTAAGTACATTATCGCAAAAATGGTGGATTTTGGCGGGTTCCTGATGTGTGGAAAAAGCTGAGGAAATCCAAACAATCCCTGCTTTGCCAAATTCCCCAGTGAATATATCTCGCATTGCTTCAATGTGGCTTCAGCCGTTTCCAATGTTCAATGTAAAAAAAATGGCCCTATGACATGACATTGGGTTGAACCATGCGTTAAGACGCGTTGTGAAAGCCATTGACACTAAGGCAATCTAAGGCATCAGCTTCACGCTGTGATGTCAACCAAAATTCCTGGAGCTGCAGGAGCTGGTAACAAGTCCGATCCGATAGGCCCTTCAACTGTGCACCTCCCCATCACCTGTGTTGAGGACATTCAAGACCTGGCTCATGGGATATGGCCAGCTTGGCAAAAACCTGCCTTCTAAAGTTGGATCTCTCAATGCCAAGTTAGTTTCACAAACTCCATGGGATGCAAATGATTTGATCACCGCCTTCTGCGACAATCCTTTGATCTCATCACGAGATGCTCGCAGAAGAACTTGCTCCTGTCCACAGAGTCGTCGGAATCCAAAAATCTAGGGCCATCAATGGCCATCAATGGCCATCAACGGCATCAATGGCCATCAAGCAAAACAGGTGGAAAAACGATCCCAAAACCGACGGAAAATGATCTCGGAGGCTCCTCATCCTGCGCCACGTTCTGCGAAAAGACCGTCGCCAATTGCGCCAGTCTTTTAGTGCCTGGCTCTTTCAGTTTGTCAGTGGAGGGTGATCCGCGTATGGTAAAACCACGATTTGATATCTAAACACCTTCCAATCTCAAATTGATCAATGTGTACCCTAAGTATAAGTATAAATAAGTATAGTACAGTACATAATTTCATGTAATTTTTATGAATGTTCACGATCCCGAGCTACTGAATTTGCAAGCAACGAAACAGAGTGAGATGCTTCCAGACCTTCTTCCAAGGATCTCAGCGTCTTTGGATCCTCAATACCCACACCTGCCAGAGCTCTTTGTTTGGATCATGGACAGTTTGTTTGTGGATATGTACATCCATCTGAACAAAGATGACTGTTGAAAGCTAAGGCACCCATGGTAAATCCTTCGCGAGCCAATCGCCTGCAACAGAACAAGAATGTAACGAGTGACATGTATCTAGAAAATGTGGAACCTCAAATGTTCAGCAGCTGGGTCGAAAATACTCAAATGATCTCAAATGTTGCTAAGGCCAAGGCATCACCACACGTCGCTGCACTGGACCTCAGAGGAAATTCGACAAACATATCCTGTCAGCGACATCTGATATGTGCTGATGGGGTACTCAGATCTTGCTCACTGAGTTGCCGCAGAGCCTGTGACACTCAGATGTTAAAAGCGTTTTCCCTCCATGGTTTGCATCTCACCCTGGAAGAATTATCAGCACAGAGCTGGCCTCGCCTCGTGTAAGAAGTCAGACTGGGCCAAGATGGACGCAGCCGTAGATAGCCGGTACGAAAGTTGATGGTAAATCTCATCGATCTGCCGATCGAAAAACAGCAAATCAATACAAATCATAGGAAATTCTAGGAACTTATCACAATGCCTCGGTCTGTGATTCTTTATGTTTCCGGGTGTTTGGCCCGAAATAAGTTGGAAATGCTTGAAATATATTGACATATCTTGTGGATTTGGCCTTCATTTTGGGACAAACTCATTTGGACTTTCCAAACTCAGCGAGACAACATGAATGTCCAGAATATCGTTATCCGCCTTTGGAGAGATTCGCCATGCTCTTCGCAGAAAATGGATGGCACCCCAAACTTTTTCGACGCCTCGACAGTTCGATTTCGCATCAAATTGCACTGATCCGTACTGATCCAGCAGGCTGCTGTCGCTGCTGATCTGAGGCATTTTGCGATCGAGAAGTATCTCCACAGGCCCAAGGACTTCCTGGAAGAAGGTGATGGAGTGATGGGGTGGGTTTTACTAGCGGCTGCTAACGGCTGTTTCGCGGAAGCCAGAGATTCGTTAGTGCGTTGATAGATAGTCAACTGACTGAAACTATGAGAAATTTTGCAGATGGGCACCCAGCTCAAATGTGATCAACGTTACCAACTGTGTCCTGCCTCATACGAAAGCCTCTGCTGCTGCAAAGCCATCTTCTTGTAAAGGCTGGACTGGATCCTCGAACAGAACACACAACAGCTTGGTTCCTAGCAGCTGCATCAAGGGCTGACATTTACATCATTACCCTCTGGTTATGACTAACATAGCCATGGAAAATTGCCCATTTATAGATGGTTTACCTATTAAAAATGGTGATTTTCCATGGCTATGTTAAATAACCAGATGGTAAATTACATCATTTATCCTTGCATCACTGCCCAAAAGTGACCGCCTTCTCAGGTCGGATTGAAACTGCTCCAACACCAAATCCACAGCGCTGACCAAATGCTCTGATCTCACCTGGTCACAATGCACAGTGCCGCAAACACTGAAGTCTCTGTTTTACACTCCATGAATTTCCATGATGACTATTTCACGGCTTGGCAATCTTGGCGATCTTGGCAATCTTGGCAATCTTGGCAATCTTGGCAATGCTGCTTTTTCTGTTGCTTTTCCACATAACATCACATCACCCTGGCTTTGAAATGCTTTGAATACGTCAAAGATCGTCAAAGCTTTACCTTGGCCTCAACCCTCAACTGCCCACCTTCTCCAGTCGCGGGATCCCATTCAGCTCATCCAGCAAAGGGTTGAAAACACCCGGAGCAACTGGCAGTGGATCCAACGGGAGTCCAACGGTAGAGTCCAACGGTGTCGAGGCCATCCATTTTGCGGCTGGAAATCGTCGTGCCTTCCCGATGAACTGGCTGAGTGAGCAAAGCGCGCTCTTGCTCAAGTTTCTTCCTACAGTGGAAATGTGGTGTTAGATCTATTTAGATCTTCAAGATGGCACTTTTACTCAAAAACTATCATTCCCATCTCAATGCAGAGTGTATGCTGAGTGGAGCGACGTTGGTAGTAACTGGTAGGTCCTCCCAGCATTTCCTGAAAGGCCACTGCATCACTGAAAAATGGCCAAAAAACAATGTCTGACTTTCAGAATTTCAGAATGGTAATTTTGAGGTTCCAGCTCACTAATCTTGTCGGCCTGATCCAGCTGAACAGATGTGAACAGTGAAGCATAGTATCTCCATGTATCTCCTGACCCGGCCTGGAAGGCCACCATGCGAAGCATAGCGACCCCTCAACGGAAATGCTGCATCTGCAGATCGAATTCCATCAATTCTCTGAGTTTCCAACAGCCAAATATGCCAGTAAAACACAACGAACACGAGGCAGGAACCTTCAAGGAGAGGATGATCAGGGTCGATTAGCTGAAGATTCTGAAGATGCTGAAGATGGTGGCATTTAACAATCATGTTCTGTGCACTTTGGAGCCTTTGTCTCCAACGGGGACGCGGAACGTCGTACATCGTGTCAAGCCATGGCTGAAGCCCAAGCTGCATCCCAAAATTTCGTAAATAGCAGGCACTTGGGAACTATCTTCCGACTTCCGACTTCCCAAACGGATCCAAGTGGATGGAAAATAACATAACAACAATGCATCAAAGAGCTGATGATTTGGGACCTCCAAAGATCGACACATGTTTTTCATCACAAGCCACCAGGTTTGACACAGCACATTTCTCGGAACTCGCACAGGTCTAGGAGGTGTCGTGCGACACGCTGCGACACGTGCAAGCGATTAAGCAAATGGAGAGGCACACGACCCCCTGCGGGAAACATATCACGCCGCCCTGAAGGATAATGTCAACATATGTCTAATATGTCAACAATATCAATCTATATCTTTGTATCGATAGAACACGCAGCAACCAACATGCAGCTGTTGTTTGTTCAAATTTCACTGGGATGGTAACAATCTGCTGATGCTCAAGTTACTTTCGAATGTTTTAACTGCACCAGCTGGTGCAGCCCTCTGCACCTGCCCAGCCTCACTCTATCCTGCTCAGCAGGAATTAGAGCCAAGCATCCAAGGAGAAAGCAACACAACAACCAGATCTTGATGTGCGAATACATGTGTATATATATATGATACATTGTAACGGAAAGTAATGGAATGAATGTATATACATCTATAGCATTCTATACCATATAGTGTTTTGATATTGTTTGATATGGTTTTAATGCTGTCTTGTCCCATTCAGCAAAGCGTAATCAAGGTATGCAACAGCATTCGTAAGTTTCTTCCGAAATTTTGATGGGGTATGGATGGGCATGGATAACAACTCGTGGAAAATAGTTCGTGATTATGATCCCAATAGGTTGACTACTTGGAATGGCAAATTCACCAGCGAATCCAGTCTCAGCCAGAAAGTCCATTGTCTTTCCAGTTCACCTCATCAAAGGTGCTCCATGATACTCCGTGCAATTGGGTCAATGAAATGTTTCCCTTGCGACCACAGTTCAAACGTTCAAAGGAGTCAAACAGCCCTCGGCTTTCTATTGGAAGCTGGGCGATCGACTTCTTCTTCGCATAGTGCGCCTGCATCAAATGAATGTTTCAACATATCTCAACGTTCCATCAACCTTTTTGCAACTGACAAATAGATGTTCAAACAACATGGAGACTTTGAAGTCAAGGATCTCAGCTGCTGAAGCACTACCCAGTTGGGAATCTTCCCCAGATATCGGAGATGCCGCTCCGAGTGAAGCCTTTGTGAGGGAATACAGCAAAACTCCGCCGATGGCAATAGCGGTACCTGGCAGCCGGTGGCCCCAATCCCCAAAATCATAGGAACACAAATGCGATCAAATGTGCATAGAGGCTCCACAGCCATGTTACAAATCTTCGTTCATAAGGGGTTGAATATGTCCGGAAAAAGCGGAAGTCTAGACGTTGAGTATCAGCAAGACTGCAGACAGATATGCTGCAGCAGAGATGGCAATGATAGAAGCCCAAGCTCAAACAGTTCAAATGCGTTGATTCTCTTGGCTACAGGATGCTACAGGAACAAACCTGACATGACAAGATGATTCCTGCGAAATGACAGAGAAAGTGGAGCCACCTGGGAAAACCTGTAGATCTGTCAGGTGATGAATCGCTCGGGAGAATACCGGCCTGCTGCACTCTGAGGAGTGACTGGAGTTCGGAAGACAATGATAGACACCTCATTCCGACAATCAGCAGTTTCAATTTCTGGGCAAGAAATTTTTTGGCAATCTGGGAGTACGAAGAATAGCCTGATCGGGCTATGACCAGCAATTCAGCCGCCAGTGATATCAACATCTTTTTAGATTTTGAGTGAAGAAAATCTTCCGATTGCAGAAAAGGTGCCACAATGATCACGACCCGCTTCAGCGTGTTGAGCACCTTGCTGACACAAACTGTGATGGAGTTGAGAGTTTCTCTTCGCTGCAGGACTGGCTGGTAAAGACCAGCTGAATCATATCGGCTAAAAGATGTTTTTCGTTGAGCTATCTTTCAACCTTCTAAGTCCCATAAGAGAAAGCTGAAGAGAAAGAAAACTAATAATCATTTAAATCAACACCCAATAGTTTCTTGTTCAGGTGCTGGACATTGTAAGCTGAGGCGCACTATGGGTGATCGGTGGAACGCAAGAGAGCACCCAAAACGAGGACAGCTGGTACCTGCAAAGCAAATCATCTGATCCAAAGGTCTGCTGCACCTGAATGTGATCCAAATTTTCCTCCGATTTTTAAAAAAAATATATACAATGACTAAGGTGCTTTTTGTTTTTTCGATGCTGTGCTACATTAGCCTTGCACATGTTGTGCAATGCGGATTCATTGACCGCACTGCACCCCAGCCGCAGGATCTGCAGGATCAGCTGGAGGCAGCTACGAAGGTTCTTTGCTTCTACCACTCCAAGGAGAATTGGAAACGGCGCTATTCAAAAACCATTCACAAGCTGCTGGCAGAGTTTTTGTGATTTAATTGTAAAGTAATATATATATATATTTATATTTATATTATACATATCATATATGTATACATAACTATCAGATTATATACTAGAAATACTATAACAAGAATCATCAAGAAATGTTTCCCAATGGCTCACCTTGGATCTGAATTTCTACCGGGCCCGGCTCACTTCCTTGGAGCACTCCGCCTCCCGGGCGCGTTTCTTGCCGCGCTGAAGGAGCACCTGGATCAACTTCTTGGCCAACAATGGATTCTCCTCACTGAGCTGTGGGAGAAAGCAACGAGATATAGTTAGTTGATGTTAGTTGTCATCTACTACTGTGTATGTACATCATGTATACTTACATACCATTACCATTACCATTACCATTACCATTACCATTACCATTACCATTACCTTACATACATACATATGTATATCCGCCGACCCCGGCCGACGCAAGGGGGAGCGCGTAAGGGAAGAAGAGGTACTACCACTACTACTACTACTGCTGCTGCTACTGCTGCTACTGCTACTACTAATATTACTACTACTACTACTACTACTACTACTGCTACTACTGCTACTACTGCTACTACTGCTACTACTGCTACTACTGCTACTACGACTGCTACTACGACTGCTACTACGACGACTACTACTACTACTACTCCTACTACTACTACTACTACTACTACTACTACTACTACTACTACTACTCCTGCTACTACTACTACTACTGCTGCTACTACTACTACTACTACTACTAGCTGTTTTACTGCTAGCAGCCACAGGCAATAGAATCTCTGGAAAAAAAAATGTTGTTTTTCTAGGATTTCAGACGGGACGTTAGGGAGTTTTTGGGCGTGGTTTTGGAACTAGCTCGTCCTTCAGAGCCATGGTGTTTTCCTGCCGGGAGCTGATTTTTTCGAAGCTGTTTTACTGCTAGCAGTCGCAGGCAACAGAGTCTCTGGAAATCTCTGGAAAAATGTTGTTTTTCTAGGAGTTCAGACGGGACGTTGGAGAGTTTTTGGGCGTGGTTTTGGAACTAGCTCGTCCTTCAGAGCTATGGTGTTCAGGATAGGATAAGAGAGGATTTCTAGTAGGATTTCAGAAGGGACGTTCCGGCCTCCAGGGAACTTGTTCTTGCGATTGATTTGGAGGTCGTTTCGTCCTTCAGTAGCATGGTGTTTTGGTGTGGCGAAGGGTGCACATTCCGGCCCCCAGGAAACTTGTTCTTGCGATTGATTTAGAGGTCGTTCCGTCCTTTAGGGCCATGGTGTTTTGCTGTTTCGGAACCGCCCGCTAGGACTTCGTTGTGGAGCTGTTTTGAGGGCATGGAAGCTGGCAGCAGCAGTCACCATTGGATGGATTGGACTGGATGCGATTTCTAGCAGGATAAGGGACAGGATAAGGGATAGCAGGATTAGAGAGGATTTCTAGTATAGGATTTCAGAAGGGACGTTCCGGCCTCCAGGGAACTTGTTCTTGCGATTAATTTTGCGTCATTTTCGGTACGAAATTAAGTGGTGTTTCGCCGTTTCGGCTGTGTTTCGAAAAAGGTGTCTGCCTGTTAGCAGGATAAGAGAGGATAAGAGAGGATTGGCTTAGTCGGATAGCAGGATAAGAGAGGATCGGATAGCAGGATAAGAGAGGATTCTAGCACGATAGCAGGATAAGAGAGGATTTAAGACAGGATTTCTAGTAGGATTTCAGAAGGGACATTCCGGCCCCCAGGAAACTTGTTCTTGCGATTGATTTAGAGGTCGTTCCGTCCTTTAGGGCCATGGTGCTTTGCTGTTTCGGAACCGCCCGCTAGGACTTCGTTGTGGAGCTGTTTTGAGGGCATGGGAGCTGGCAGCAGCAGTCACCATTGGATGGATTGGATTGGATGCGATTTCTAGCAGGATAAGGGACAGGATAAGGGATAGCAGGATTAGAGAGGATTTCTAGTATAGGATTTCAGAAGGGACGTTCCGGCCTCCAGGGAACTTGTTCTTGCGATTAATTTTGCGTCATTTTCGGCACGAAATTAAGTGGTGTTTCGCCGTTGCGGCTGTGTTTCGAAAAAGGTGTCTGCCTGTTGGTTTCTTGCTTGAACAGCCACCAGCAGCAGCAGCAGCAGCAATCAAAAGTGGATTGGATTGGCTTAGATTTCTAGTCGGATAGCAGGATAAGAGAGGATTCTAGCACGATAGCAGTATATAAGAGAGGAGAGAGGATTTCTAGTAGGATTTCAGAAGGGACATTCCGGCCCCCAGGAAACTTGTTCTTGCGATTGATTTAGAGGTCGTTCCGTCCTTTAGGGCCATGGTGTTTTGCTGTTTCGGAACCGCCCGCAAGGACTTCGTTGTGGAGCTGTTTTGAGGGCATGGGAGCTGGCAGCAGCGGTTAACATTGGATGGATTGGATTGGATGCGATTTCTAGCAGGATAAGGGACGGGATAAGGGATAGCAGGCTTAGAGAGGATTTCTAGTATAGGATTTCAGAAGGGACGTTCCGGCCTCCAGGGAACTTGTTCTTGCGATTAATGCGTCATTTTCGGCACGAAATTAAGTGGTGTTTCGCCGTTTCGGCTGTGTTTCGAAAAAGGTGTCTGCCTGTTGGTTTCTTGCTGGAACAGCCACCAGCAGCAGCAGCAGCAATCAAAAGTGGATTGGATTGGATTAGATTTCTAGTCGGATAGCAGGAGGATTAGATTTCTAGTCGGATAGCAGGATAAGAGAGGATTCTAGCACGATAGCAGGATAAGAGACGATTTCTAGTAGGATTTCAGAAGGGACATTCCGGCCCCCAGGAAACTTGTTCTTGCGATTGATTTAGAGGTCGTTCCGTCCTTTAGGGCCATGGTGTTTTGCTGTTTCGGAACCGCCCGCTAGGACTTCGTTGTGGAGCTGTTTTGAGGGCATGGGAGCTGGCAGCAGCAGTCAACATTGTAGGATTTCAGAAGGGACATTCCGGCCCCCAAGAAACTTGTTCTTGCGATTGATTTAGAGGTCGTTCCGTCCTTTAGGGCGATGGTGTTTTGCTGTTTCGGAACCGCCCGCTAGGACTTCGTTGCCCTCAGCATCAGCAGCATCAGCAGCAGCAGCCACCAGCAGCCACCAGCAGCCACCAGCAGCCAGCCGCAGAACCAGCAGAAGCAGCAGGAGCCTCTGCAGCAGCAGGCAGAAAAGGTAGCCAGAATTCATAGCAGCAGCAACAGGGAAAAAAAGTAACCAAAAGCATCATTTCATCATCATTTTCTATGGGTTTCAGAAGTTGCGATAGGCATTTTCGAGGTGCAATTTTGGGGCTTCTCCGTCCTTCCGAGGCATGGTGTTTTGCTGCCGGGAAGTGATTTTTTCCATTGTGTTTTCCCATTTGGGGACCGGCTGTAAAGGCGGCCAAAATTCATAGCAGCAGCAAGAGGAAAAAGGAGCCAAAAGCATCATTTTCTATCGGTTTCAGAAGTTACGTTAGGCATTTTCGAGGTGCAATTTTGGGGCTTCTCCGTCCTTCAGGGGCATGGTGTTTTGCTGCCGGGAGGTGATTTTTTCCATGGTGTTTTCCCATTTGCGGACCGGATGTAAAGGTGGCCAAAATTCATAGCAGCAGCAAGAGGAAAAAGGAGCCAAAAGCATCATTTTCTATCGGTTTCAGAAGTTACGTTAGGCATTTTCGGGGTTCTAGCACGATAGCAGGATAATAAATAAGAGATTTCTAGTAGGATTTCAGAAGGGACATTCCGGCCCCCAGGAAACTTGTTCTTGCGATTGATTTAGAGGTCGTTCCGTCCTTTAGGGCCATGGTGTTTTGCTGTTTCGGAACCGCCCGCTAGGACTTCGTTGTGGAGCTGTTTTGAGGGCATGGGAGCTGGCAGCAGCAGTCACCATTGGATGGATTGGATTGGATGCGATTTCTAGCAGGATAAGGGACAGGATAAGGGATAGCAGGATTAGAGAGGATTTCTAGCATAGGATTTCAGAAGGGACGTTCCGGCCTCCAGGGAACTTGTTCTTGCGATTAATTTTGCGTCATTTTCGGTACGAAATTAAGTGGTGTTTCGCCGTTTCGGCTGTGTTTCGAAAAAGGTGTCTGCCTGTTAACGGGATAAGAGAGGATTGGCTTAGATTTCTAGTCGGATAGCAGGATAAGAGAGGATCGGATAGCAGGATAAGAGAGGATTCTAGCACGATAGCAGGATAAGAGAGGATTTAAGAGAGGATTTCTAGTAGGATTTCAGAAGGGACATTCCGGCCCCCAGGAAACTTGTTCTTGCGATTGATTTAGAGGTCGTTCCGTCCTTTAGGGCCATGGTGTTTTGCTGTTTCGGAACCGCCCGCTAGGACTTCGTTGTGGAGCTGTTTTGAGGGCATGGAAGCTGGCAGCAGCAGTCACCATTGGATGGATTGGATTGGATGCGATTTCTAGCAGGATAAGGGACAGGATAAGGGATAGCAGGATTAAAGAGGATTTCTAGTATAGGATTTCAGAAGGGACGTTCCGGCCTCCAGGGAACTTGTTCTTGCGATTAATTTTGCGTCATTTTCGGTACGAAATTAAGTGGTGTTTCGCCGTTTCGGCTGTGTTTCGAAAAAGGTGTTTGCCTGTTAGCAGGAAAGGAGAGGATTGGCTTAGATTTCTAGTCGGATAGCAGGATAAGAGAGGATCGGATAGCAGGATAAGAGAGGATTCTAGCACGATAGCAGGATAAGACAGGATTTAAGAGAGGATTTCTAGTAGGATTTCAGAAGGGACATTCCGGCCCCCAGGAAACTTGTTCTTGCGATTGATTTAGAGGTCGTTCCGTCCTTTAGGGCCATGGTGTTTTGCTGTTTCGGAACCGCCCGCAAGGACTTCGTTGTGGAGCTGTTTTGAGGGCATGGGAGCTGGCAGCGGCAGTCACCATTGGATGGATTGGATTGGATGCGATTTCTAGCAGGATAAGGGACAGGATAAGGGATAGCAGGCTTAGAGAGGATTTCTAGCATAGGATTTCAGAAGGGACGTTCCGGCCTCCAGGGAACTTGTTCTTGCGATTAATTTTGCGTCATTTTCGGCACGGAATTAAGTGGTGTTTCCCCGTTTCGGCTGTGTTTCGAAAAAGGTGTCTGCCTGTTGGTTTCTTGCTGGAACAGCCACCAGCAGCAGCAGCAATCAAAAGTGGATTGGATTGGATTAGATTTCTAGCCGGATAGCAGGAGGATTAGATTTCTAGTCGGATAGCAGGATAAGAGAGGATTCTAGCACGATAGCAGGATAAGAGACGATTTCTAGTAGGATTTCAGAAGGG